TATTTTGCACTTTAATTTGTAGCTAAATACTAGTTTGTAAACCAGAATACGTTTTTCGCAGTTTTTATATGGTATAATCGATAACAGATAAAATCATTACAAATCAGTCGTAAAAATATCTTTGTACCTATTATTTGAGTAATCAATAATTAGCTAGACATTACATGTAGTTCAATAAATATGGGAGCTATTAATAATGCAATTTAGATAATTTCTGCTGTTTTAATAAAAACAAGCCGTGTATAAAAATGAAAACTATGCATTTAGCTCGCGTAGTTGGAATCTGATTTTGAATCATTTACGTAAATCATACATTCACTTCCTTTCGTTCTATCTCATTTCTTCTGAAATGATCGCATGTATTTAATTGCAGCTATAACAATTTTTCTAAGCAAATTCGTCAAGTGCAAGTCAAAACGTCTGCAAATAAGCTACAAGTATATTGCATGTAATATAACGATGACGCAGAATGTCCGTGATTATTTGTCAAAAAGGATGGAATTCTCAGTTTTTTGTTCTTTTTTTTATACATTGCTACTCGTTTGACATAAACCTACCTGTGATATTGTACCCGATGCTGTTTATATTAAATTCATAAATTTGCTATTGGTTTTTTTATTCTTTTCTTTTTTTCTTTTGTTACTTTCTGTATGTCAATCCCTGCCATTATCTCGGACTTGCGTGGCTACGTAATAACAGTCTATAACGCAATCTTACGTTTAGCAGCACAGACACAAACAGTATTTTTTTTCTACGTTACAAGGAACACGCACGAATTCCTTTCCGAAAATTATTATGTTAGGATTGGTGGGGCTACGAGGCAATGTCCGACATAAGCTGGGCGAGCAAAGCCGGCTCTAAAAGTCCATGCGTCTGCCCCATCCTCTCCAAGTTTCGTACATCTTTATCAACTTCTTCCAAAGCCCGTTGCAATTCTTCCTCCTCTTCTCTCGATGGCTCGTAATCTCCATTTCTACCCTCTACAAATCAAAATATCTCTTACAATTACATTGCCTTGTAAAACAAATGAATAAAAAATTTTATAAAATTGAGATATGCAAAATGTGGAATACGAAAGATATAGAAATTACCGATGAATAAGTCATTAAAAGCATCCGGGGGTAAGTTGTTGAGCACATTGCCAAAATCATGCTCGGCGGAATCCAAGGAAGCGAATACTTCGTTATCTCCAAGCTCGACTTTGAGTCCTCCGGTCAGACCGAGAGAGCCCAATCCTAATCCTAGATTCAAGTTGGACGAATTTGAACTTCCTTGCGGAACATTCAAATTGTTCAACAGCTTGGTATGGTTTTCACAATTTATTTGGCTCATATAATGACTTTCCTCATGCATCAACGCAGCACTCTTAGTAGTCTCTATCTTACTCGAAGGCGGCCGTTTGCGCTTCTTCGGCTTAGACTTGGGCTTAGGCTTCGCCAGAATAGTGGGGGAGACTGGTTTTTTACGAGCTTTCTTTGGTTTAGATTCTTGGATTTTACGATGATAATTGTCCCTTTTCCTCGCATGTTCCGGACAGAGAGGTAATTCGTGCGCGACATCAAACACAGGAACACAACACTGTGTGTTGTCACTAAACTTGGCAGTGCAATGCTCAAATAAAAGCTGATCTCCATTTAACATAATGTGGCGGGAACAATGCCGGGTGCAAGGCAGAGATGTCTGTTGGCATCCTTCCGCCCCGCATGGCCCGCCGACCAATAGGGGTCCGTCGAGTACCTTGCTAGTACTTGGAGAGTCGCTCAAAGCTCGCGCAGTAGAAGCGGGATCTTTGGAAGCGGCCTCCAGTAAACATTTAACTCTGTGCCGCAGCACAGCCTCAGCGTCAGCTCCGTCGATACGCAACTGAAGTAATTGTCGTTGTAATTGCGAGCGCACCTGAGACAGTCGAGCCGCGCGATTCAGCGTCGTCATAGACTCGCCGGAAAACCAATGATGCTGATAGATCGTCATCTCATCTCCACTCGAATCGCTGTCGGATATCTCATCCCCGGCTCTCGGATAATACAACAGAGTATGGTCCCGGCTTTGCCTCCTGGATCTTAATCTTCGCAAATTCTCGATGTGTCGTTGCTTACGCTGAACTAATTTAGAAAATTTGTGATCCAGGTTTTCTCCAATGCCGTCCTCGACTCTCGTCTCTGCTGTGGCATTGGTCTTATAGCTCGCGGCTGGCACAGGCGCTACCCGTATCCTCTGTTTCACGTATTTCCCCTTTGACCTATTATTCTTACAACTTTGCATCGTTTCGGAACTCGTAGGTGGAACCACCGTGGCATTTCTCCCAGCCGCCGTGGCAAATGGTTCCGGTTCACTAAAAATGTACGGATCAACATCTTGATGTGCCTCGGTTTTCAGCAGAGCCTTCAAGCGGTCCGAAAACTTCAATTTATTGTCCATGTTTGAGTTTTCGGAAATAGGGACCTTCATTGATTGCTGCTTCTGCCCAGATCCGTTCCACCTGCATTCTCAAATCCTCCAATCAACTTTATTCCTATCTAGATAAAACTTAGTTCACGCTATGTGCTAGAATCCAAGAGTAAAATCATCAATTAAGAATATAATACTGAGACTGTAAGTTAAAAAAAAAATGTTTTATCGTATATCACAGATTTTTGCTATTATCGAGTTTATCAATAAGTAAAAGAATAAAAAGATCCAAGCGTATTCACGTGAACATTATATTCAAGAGAAACTATTATTGTATACTATAAATTAAAAACTAAATTGTATGATACATTGCTTATATCAGAAAATATCCGTTTGTTATATGTTTAACATATATCTTTTCCTAAACACATATGTACAGTCAAATAAGTCAATAAGTCATGGAATTTGCAATAATTAAGCTGATAGAAGGCTCGCAAGACCTTCTCATTGTGTCAGACCTACCGACTACAGAGATAATACTTGAACTGCGTGCGTGTCAACACCGCTTGATACACTACTCATGTCTACACATCCGTTTATAAATAATGTGACGCGTGACAGCGGACGCGCGAGTTTCTTGATTCGAGCAGCAAGCGTGAACTTAGTCCATTGCTAGATTAGGACAAAAACGATCCTTGCCTCGCATAGTAGTCTACACCAAGCATGCCCTATACATGTCCAAGCAACTGCTGCTGCTTCTGCTGTTGCTGCGTCGTGGTCGTTGTTGTCGTCGCGCGTCGGGCGGACGTCGGGTCGGTGCGCACTGCCGTAGTGGCGGGTTTCGACGATCCCGCGGCCAGGAACAGATCCATATCACCGGAGCGCGATCTCCCCGCCGTTGGCATAGGCGCGCGCTCGACGATCCTCCTGTCTGCCTGCTTGTTTGCCTGCGTCTTCTTGGTTAGGTTCGCTCACGTCACGTCGAGGCGCGGCGGGACACGGTGTGCGGGATGCGGCGCGGTCTCAACGACGCGGCCGAAAGCGCACCTGGGCCGAGTCTCGCGGCATAACGTCCGGGATGGCTCGCAGAATTATGATCACCTCGCGTTCGTGGGCGATCCTGCCACCAGCTCGTTCTTGACACAGGGGCCGTAGAACCACGGAGGTGAGGTTGGAATGACACTGGATGATCGTTTCCGGACAAAGGCGACGATGTTGAGGCGACGTCCTGCAGGATCGGTTACGGCGCGAGCTTCCTCCCTTCGTGCGCGGACTCGCTCACCACGGACGACACACTCGAAGCGGTCTCACGCGCAAAATTTCGACGTTCGTCGATAATAACATTAGAAAGACATGTCAGGCGTGCGGGGGCAGCAAAATGGCGGTCATGGCGCGACACGGCGCGTGCCAGTCCCACGATTCGGCGAGAAATCCCCCGAATTCGCGAACGATTTCTCTCGATTCGCGTTCTCGTCAGCGCGTCCGGCTGTCAAATTAATTTCGGACGATGTCACGGACAGGTCGCGCGACCGACAAGAGGCCACACCACGTGGCCGCAAAATCGTTCTGAGTTTTTCCTTGGAACGACATAACCTGTACGCCAAGACAATTCGACTCCGCGCACGCAACGATTTCTCTCAGCGTTTGTATTTAGCGTTTCTTTGAAAATTCTTAGAAAGTTAGGAGAAGAGTTGCAAGGAGATCGGTGCGAACCAATTCATTAGCCTCTCGGGCTTTTTATCGCGCGAGCGGTCCGACTTTCGAAAATCGCTACTTCCGGGACTTCTCACTCGCTTGCGCGAAGCAGCCTAATGATGAACTAGCGGTAACCGCGACGATGACTCATCCAACTATGTGTAATATTACTTCATGCCTAAGGAAATATATGCCCGAGACTTGTAATATGTTCATTTTTATTCTTTTTACAGCTAGCTTCGTACACTTTTTATCTCGTCTCCCTCTCCCCCACCCTTCCTCAACGTCTAATTACATATCTATTTTATTTTAAGTGCAAAAGATGTAACGCAAATAGAACGCAATAGATCTAATATGTTTGTTTTTTTTGTAGTTGAACTTTTTATACTTTATACAAACCTCTCCGTTTGCCTTTAACGTCTTGCCTATTTGCGCAAAAAGTATAACGTATGTAGCTAGAAAGAAAACTTATTTTTATCGCTGCATAAATTGCATTAACAAAAACGTTTTCGTCTAACTTGATTCGATTCGAATCAGGAAATCGAATACGAATAATGAATATTAAGTCAATCTAATGTTATACATTCATTAAGCACTAATTAGAACTAATTAGAACTTCTTACAACGATATTATTTTGCTTACGCAAAAATCTGCGTAATAAGAAATCCTTTTTCTTTATCTTCTGACCTCATCATCCAGGAAAAAAAAACGATTCGCGCGAGATTTAATTATTTAAACATAATCACGTGGTTCACGTTCAAATGTAATAGTCATCCAGTATAATTATCGTAATTACAAATCGTTTTTTCATACAGTTTAATAAGATTAGGATTAAAAGAAATATTAGCGAAATATAGCGAAATCTGAAAGCCTCTTTTTTCTACTTTTCTCTTGAAAAATATTCGTCGCATAATTCACTAATATTAAAATTTATAGTTTTCGTGGATGAAAGTTTGATTGCAACAGAAATAAATATACAGAAATTATATAATTCTGCTATTAATTTTATCAAAATTTACAAAATGAATAAATCAAAACACTTCAGGCTCACGGAATAAATATGAAGTTGGCAAAGCGGTTAAAAAAAAAGTCGATAAGATCGAGTATTTTCAAATATGCGATTGCTATTGAATTAAAAAAAACTTAAAAATCAATAATTTACAAAAAGGTTAAATATATCATCCACCTGTTGCATAAATCGATAATATTCAAGATTTTTCATCGCCGAATTAAAAATTTGTAAATCCAATATATAAAAAAAGTGCCCCACTCTGACCAATAAACGATATGTTCATAAACAATATTTTATGTACACATTATATAATTTATTATACCGCCATTATATTATTTATAAAAATTTATGGAAGTTACATAAAGAGAGAAAGAAAGAAAAATGTTAAATTACGTAATTTCTTTGTACAATTTGCTAAAAATTCTTTGCATTATTATGTAAAAAATACATGGAATTCTGTAAAATTGTGTGTGCAATTTACATTGCCGAAATTTTTTTTATTAGGAGAAACAGAAATTAAATTGGACTCACGTTTCAAATACGTATTTTGTAAATAACAACACTGTGTTATCACAAATGTTTATCTTTCAACAAGGTGCTATACAACAAACTGTGTACACATGACACACACTCGATCATTCTGACGTTCCGGTTGAAAATTAACAGAATTTGCTTACTTCACAAATTCTGCTTGTAATATATAATACATTAAATGTATTATGTAACATAAACGTGTGTGTGTGCACTAACTATAGGATGCCTTATACGAATCTCATTTACATGAGATTTTCATACAATTGTTGATCAATAACAAATAAATTTGAAGTTATTTTACATCACTAACTATTAAATGCACAATTGGCCCATAAAAGAATAATTAAATAAGAATCCAAATTCCTCTATAATGCAAAAAAAAATGTACATTTGTGACATATTCTAATGAATATATTCGTATAAATATATTGACTCAATTATATATTGAGATGATCACATATGATCTGCATGTTAATTCTAGAAAATGTTCGTTATATTAATAAATGATTTAATTATGCAGTAACAAATTATGCATTAACGACTTTCCATAATGAAAAATGAAAATCGGATAACAACATGTACGAGCCAACATTTTGAAAAAGAAGATTCATAAAAACAAGATTCATAAAATCAATTTGTCAATCTATTTCGGAGAGATGTTGGAAACTATTGTTTTGGAATATTCTATTCTTCAAGTTGAACTGTTATGACGACATTAAATTCTTAGTTCGAGGTAAAATTCGTATGGTAGACCCAAGGGACGGTAATTCTTTTATTACAAAAATTGTATTTGCAAACTGTTTATGAAATAGTCAGCGAATCTTCGTTACGTTGTTCGTCGTTGAGGTTTCTGTCCTTTAATAACAACTGGCCGGCCTTTTATGAAACCTCGTTTACGCCGCGCAGTCTGAAACATCAATGCCCGACCCCCCATAACTTCAACTACGTTTCCAGGTCAATTAATGTGCAATGATAAAAACGGTAAACGATACGAAAAATCACATTTATATATTAAAAAAAAAAAAAAGATATCTTTCATTCTTTAGTATAAATATAATTTAGTATAAATATAAATATTTACATGCATACCAACCTTTTTGCTAATATACGAATTCGCGCGACGCGTGATAATTCGCTCGGAAATCGGAATTCTTGGTCTATTGAATTCCGCTGGTTTCTTCACCCTATAGACGTATTTCACAATTAGCAATTAATGCAAAAATTTTGTAATTTTTCAAAGTTAATTGTAGATGAAAACTGTCGTAAAATTTACCTGTAAATCCTAACAAGCCAATGTTCGGTGGTATAAGCTTCCTCCAGATATGTTAACTGGAAGTTTTTATTGCCTATTTCTGCATTTCGAGTACGATCGTAACCATAAGGCGATCGATAGTCTATTTTAACATCCCCAAATCGATAATAACTCAGCTTATACATAAGCGAGTTCAGCAAAGTAGGGGAACCTTCCGAGTCAACGCGGAATTCCCCCCTTTCGGTAAAATAATCGCTCTCACGAATGTCTTGAGGATGCTCGCCCTCAGCAATACGGACCATCCATAGAAATTTATTAATATCATCACCGGAGTATCCGATCATCCCACCAAAGATGATCAACACATAGTCCACATCCAGGGATGTCATGATCTCGTAAGCAGCACTTTCGTTCGAGCTCATTGCCTTGCCAACAAGAGCTATATGCGAATTATTCCATGTATTATTGTCCACGAGAGTAGTTCTACAAAAAAGAAACCGACGTAATAATGTAGTATAATTAAGTAATTATATTGATCTCACACGTTAATTTAAATATATACGATCTTATAAACATTGTACCTGTTAGCCATACCAGCAATCTGGTATCCATAATCCCACCAGCTCATAACTCGAGCGTCATTAGCGGTATTTTGCGCTAACCAATAGTAAGCCTCCCGAAAATCGTCCAAGATGGCTCTGCCGCCATCATTACTATAAGACGCCAAAACAATAGATGGACTAGAATAGGCGTTGCTGGTTACCCATGTGCAATGCACAGTAAACATCATCAGTAGTATGAGCATAACGATAATAACGACGTTACGAATATTCGCGCCTAATCCATCACCATTTCCCTTCGATCTTTCATGTTTCATTCTACGAAGTTTACCAGCTTTATCATATAACGCCCTACCAGGACTTCTTTCCCTTTCCTCTTCGCTCTCTTCATTGCTTTCATTACCACTACGATCGTTTCCATCTCTATCCTCTTCTTTGAGGTACAGTTCCACGAGTCTGCTGACAGCAACTCCGGCCAGCATACACACTACTGGAGTTAAAGTCAACATAAGTCTTACCATCACACCAGCGAAATAAACGGCACTTATGGCGTACAGTACAACTGCAAAAAGATTGTATATTAGTTAATTATTATTGATATTTTCATCATATATTTTCATTTCTTACCGAAGACACGCTCATCATTGACGTGTGTAATGCAGTACCAAAGACCAACTGGGAACATTGCGACAAGAAAATGCAAATCAAAGAAAAAGCTGAACCAAGTTGTCGGTTGATGTTCTGATACAGACGCTATTATAGGGATATGTATTTTGGCATAACCAGTATCCCATAATGAGTAAAATCTACCGCTCCAAGGGGCGACGATGCCAGCATATGTTAATACGATCAAAATCAATAAGAGCATAGCAGTTGCTACAGCCACAACACCACCAAAATATTTCATCTCGGATTTGGTAAGTACAGTTCTTAAGTATCTGAGAATTAGAGAAATCAGTATAAGTATATTGCAATTGAGGCATTCCCAAAATATCTAGTCAAATTTTATCAAAGTGTTCTATAAATTATCTTAATAAAAAATATACCTAGCAAGAATATTTTAAAAATGTATGTCCAACAGTACTTTTCCACTAATAAATGATGCAGATTAAAAAATATAAGAACAAATAAATATTATAAATTGAAATAATACATACCTAAATGCTGCTACAAAGATTATAAGACCAAATACACCACTCGCTGCCATATGCTCAGAAGTTCTGATCGGCTGAAAACCGACAAATGGTATTTGCATACTCAATAAAAGTCCAAGAACATAAAACGTAGTATAGCTGGTGAACAACCGGTTGCTAAAGCGATTCAAGACCAGCAAGGCAAACACATGAAGTGGAATCAAATTGATAATGAACACATAGCCTCCCCATGCAGACACCATGTAGAAATAAGATAGAGCGGTTACACTCGCCCAAAAGATCGAACCAGTCTTGACTGATTTGACCCATAGATAATAAGTAATTTGCAATGCAAAGATCGCGATTCCCTCGTTGTCATAACTACCGGCTACAGATCTTGAGATATAGCCAGGTACAATGGCAATGAAGCAAGCGGCAAACAGGCCAGCTCCAGCACTCCATATTTCTTTTGTTAATAAATATGTAGATATGGCAGTAAGGCCACTAAAAATTGGAGCTAGAAATACACATATGTCTCTTATATGCACTGGTATGTTCAAAGAGTGCAATATATAGTGTATTGATCCAGATGTTATCATGAGTCCAGGATAAATAGTTCCACCAACAATTCGGCCCAGTGGATACCAAGCCCGTTCGTCAAACCAATTCAGAAAATTGTAGAATCCATGTTGCACCATATACGCCGTTGCTCTGTAGTTGAACCTGAATTCAATACATGCCCATTACATCTTGCTATTAATCAGTCAAAAATTTTAATGTTATTTATTTTTATATATTAAAATAAATTAATAAGCATTTTTGCTTATTAAAATAAATCAATCTGAATAAAATAAGAAAAAAAAGATAAAAATTTTAATAATTATCTAATATTCGTTCCGTTCGTTATTAATAATTACATTCTCACGTGTTTCTAAATAAGTTACATAACTGAAAAAATAATGCAATTTATCGTCTCGAGAGATATGATAGCGAGTTTAACAATCGCGCGGTACCGAGATGTTATTCGAGTGATCATATCCCGGATACGTACCAAGGATCAAACTCGTGTATGATGCTCTCGAAACGTATGACCGCGAAAAGCCTAGAGGCAAAACCCGAGAGCCAGGCGAGCAAGAGCACGGTAAAGGTGATGAGGGAGCTGAGGCCGGCGGCGTTCGTCAGCGTGGAGGATTTCATTTGCTTGGTCATCGATTTCTTATCGGGAAACATGACTTTCGCGTTGGCCGACGATGAAGACGACGATGATGATGACGAGGATGACATCGAGGGCAGTTGCTGTTGTTGCTGCTGCGACGATGACGGCGATGACGACGACGACGACGACGACTTATTCGGCAACATGCTTTCTGCGTTGCCTCACGTCCGCCACGAGCGCGTTAGACCTTACAATACGTGCGTATCCGCGTTATCGGTGCTCACAACGTGGCGTTCGCCATATGTGCATCAAACACCCGCGGTTCCCGTGCGCGACACGCGGCGCGCAACAAATTATCAAATATCGCTGAACACCTAAACTTGGGAGGCTAGGACACGTCGAACGCCGGCTACGTGTTAACCATGACTTCCATCAACGGTAGCTACGAAACTCGCACTAGAGCGCAGCAGTGAAAGGAGTGCGTTCTGACATGCGACAGGCAAATTCTTTTCGACTGAATTTTACATAATTCATTTTTTCTCTTTATCTCTTCACGTTGGAGAAAAAAAAGTAAAAGAATGAACGGCGCGAAAAGTTCAGCTAAAGCGGCGTCTACAATGAGACTTTAAGACTGAAGTTCCGGTCTACAATAGATGATTTAAGCCATAAGAAATTGACCAATCATAATCAATTATTCTCCTATTCTTCGACTATGATTCGTCCATTTCTTATGGCTTAAGGCCGAGATTAAAAGAAACAAGTTTACTGGCAAAAGTGAGGAAATTTTATTTCTTTTTTTTCTCATAAATTTCCTTATTTTCACTTTGTTTCAAGATATACGATCAGCCTTCAATCCATTTGATGTTACAAATATTTTGAAGCATTCTTTAGAATAAAATTTTTTATTCTAACTAATCAATCGAATATCAAAACATTTGTAGAATGGACCGCAGCTTATCTTAGAAATCAAAAATTTATGTCAAGAATTAATAATATCAATACTCTTTAGTTACTTAGTGTCGGTCCACAAAAGGTGATTTAAGCTTTAAAAAGTAAGAAATTGACCAATTATAATCGAATATATATCGAAAAGAATACTAGACTATGATTAGTCAATTTCTTACGGCTTAAAGATTAAATACTTATTGTGGACCGACACTTAAGCCAGCGGCACACGATACTTTTTTTCCTGCTGATTTGCTAGCTAGGATTTGTGTGCTCGTTGAGCTCTTGTTTCTGATTGGTATATTCTTTTGGATCTAAAAAAATATACCGATCGAAGACAAGAGTTCAAGCATGCGATCCAGCTAGCAACCAGCAAGAAAAAAAGCATCGTGTGCCGCTGGCTTTAAGGATTCCCTCGGGGCTTTTTGATGATCATGAAAATTCGCTGATATTGTTAATATATTTTGGAACACATTCAGAGTCTGATCAAATTATGGAATATAACCACAACGGATCAACGTCCAGTATTATAAATAGTAATATAAATATATATTGTAGTTGTTGTCGAGATTAAATGTTCTCCACCAAAGCAAGATTAATAAAACGCACGGGAAAGAACGGCGTTGGACGTTACGATTTTTTGCAGCTCTTATCTACTGAATACAACACAACTAAGTCTAAAGGTGAAAAATAATGTGAAAATATTTTTCATCAATATAATAATAATAATAATAATAAAAAATCAACTACTTTTATATTATTAGACGCAAAGGAACAAGTATTGGCAAATTTGGCAAACTTCGCCTATGATCCTATAAATTATGGATATATGAGACAATTACGAATAATTGATTTATTTCTTCATGCCTTGTCTGAAAGTAATTCGAAATTAGTACGTTTCGCCATTGGTGGTATCTGTAATTTATGTTTAGGTAAGCATATTTATAAAACAAATACAACGCTTGTTGCGTTACATATAATATCGTTTTTTCAGATGCGATAAATAAGATATACATCCTCCGCAATCGAGGCGTTGAGTTAGTATCACAATTACTTTCCTTCCATGATGAAGATATCGTGCTCTCAGCAATTTCTACCCTGATATTCTTGATCACATCTGAATCGAAAAACGAGATAACATCGACCGAGATAATTAAACACATGCTGGAACTTTCGTGTAGTGATAATATCCGTATTAAAAATTTGGCAATCATATTTCTAAATGATTATTGTGAAGCGACTGAGGTGGAGAAAATGAAAAAAAGGAAGATAATTAGCCCGTTCATAGAAAATAAATAAGTCTGATTAAATTTTATTTATTTAAGAGTCTTAGTATATAAACTAATATATAACTTCTTAAGTTATATGTACAACAGATAATATCATGAAGTTTATTCAATTTTTTGCTGGATTTCTTAAAAATCCTATAAAGATTCCTTCCAAAGCAAGATCATTTGCTGATACAACAAACATGAATAATTTAAGAGAGGGAGATCAAGTGTCAGTTTTAAAAGTAATAACAAATGATGATATACTCAGGTTTGCTGAATTGACAGGTGATTATAATCCAATACACACTGAATCAGCAAAAAATATTGCACATGGTGCTTTACTCAATGGCTTAGTGTCAGGATTAATTGGCACAAAGTTACCCGGCGCAGGTACTATAGTTATCGAACAAAATCTTACGTATCCTAAACCATGTTATGCTGGCGATACTGTAGAAGTTATAGTAAAAATTGTATCGATCAGAAAAATCATTAAATGTATGTATATGTGTATCGCTAATGGAGATAGAATCGTATTAGAAGGAGAAGCGAAGCTTATGAGAAAGATATTGTAAATATTTTATATGCTACGTTAGAATCTTAATAAAAATGTTTTATTTTATGTGTATACAAAAATATTTTATTAATAATAATAGAAAAATATACTTTTTTTGCATATAATTTGTGTTGATTATTTTTTAAACTCATAAATAACTTCATCTAGATATAAGATTTAAATTCTTTAAAATTTTACAGTTACTCGTGCATGTGGTATATTTTAATCGTTAATAAATACAAACAATTAAAGTAGGACTCTTACATAAAATCTGAGGTTTTGCTTAGTAAGCAATCGAAATGTGGCCCATGAAAATATTGCGATATAATGTGACTTTAAAAATTTAACGCATCAGTCTTGTTACAGTTCGAGTTGAGTTCTGCGAAGTGATACGGTGAAATCCTATGAAAAGAACTTTGCAGTAAATATAAGTTAATTTAATCGAATTATTGATATATAATCGCGTATATTTCAGGAGAGAGGTATAATTTTCATTTTATTTCTCTCACTAAACATTTTGAAATCGTTTCGTTAATTAAATTAATTTAATCAATATTGAACAGAAAATGTTTAATCGGCAACAACTTAACTTTCAGATCAAAATGTATTTAGCGTTAGTGGCAATGGCTCTTTGCATATCATGTTCCTTTGCAGAGAATAACAGTACTATCACAAATATTAAGCCATCTACAAATACATACGACCAACCGATTGGTTGTGTCTGTGCCGTATTTTTAAGTGGACAATTTAAAAAGGGTAGCAAGGAACAACCTAAAGGATATCCTGCACTTCTTCATGAATATCCCGATCCACTTCCATGTACCACTATTGGAAATAGACTTTGTATCAACAAATGTCTCGAAGTTGTAAGTCTTTAAAGTTTAATTCTCGTAGAGAATTTAATTATATTTTTTCTTTCTTAAACATTATATTATTTCTCTTTACGTATCCTTTCTGAATATTAATATAGAATTAAATATATTTTATAGATCGTGAAACATTTACCAAACAGTTCAACAATTCTCTGTGCTTCTTTAGAGCGCGATTGTCATAAAGAAAGGGTGAGTTATATACACAAACATACAAATTAATTTTTATTATATCTTTATTTGAAATTATTATAGAAACAGAATTGTCTCACGCGTTGAAAGCATGCGATTTTAATGCATATATGATATTTCTTTGGCAGGCCTATCTTTTCATCAAGAATTGCAAAGACGAGTGGACAAATACGAATCTATCGGCCGGTAGAGAATATTGCTGCAAAGATGGCATGCCGTATAAATGTTAATTGACATATATTTAGAATAATATTTTTATACGATGACTGTTTGTAGTTCTAAGAGTTGAGCATTTTTAATAAATACATTTAACTTAATAAGTTCATGGCACTTTGAATATCCCACCACTTGTCTAAATATAGCTTGTAGATCATCAGATACGCTCTACAAAGACAGGCAGGAATTCAGCACGAATATCTCAAACCATCCTTCTATATTTAGACTTCGAGGTGTGAGAATTTTGTGTATGCGGTACCAGCGGCAGTCTGCCATTCGTAAAATTTTCTCAGAGTCATTGTTAAGGCATATCCTGAAGCTCCACTTTGGATCACTGGATCAAAAGTTCAGGCATAACCCCAAGAGCTTCATCAGACTACAATGCCAGCGTCAAATTACACGCTCGCATTGTTTATTGTTACAACTTTACGATCGCGATGCTTTGACTACCTTCCGAAGACATTAAGATCACGTACAATTACAAACGTAAAGATGCGCCACGCTTTGTAGTCTGGCAAAAGATACTTGGCACACACATATATACGATTGAGAGACAATACGAATACGCAAAATGTGTGCGCGAATCCTGGCGTGTCCACTGTGCTCGCAACCGGGATTCTTGACGCTTGACGCACTACGAGCCGGACTTGTAAGTGTAGCGACTCGACCTCTCGTATGTCCTGTCTGCAACGAAGTTCTATTAGGTATAGATAAATTAACTATACATTTATTTGGTCACACGATCAATCTGAGCAGCGATGCGGCGGAGTCATCGAAACTTGGAACCGTCGATGAGCAGTTGGTCGCTGTCCATAACGCGCATAACGTCGCTCCGCAAGACTGGAATGTGTTGATACAGCAATTGGGCAAGGCGCAAACCGTAGACAATGGCAATGACAGGATCTGCACGGAGTTGTCAGATTCCGGAGGCTCGAATACGGGGGGCAACATCTCCGCCGTGGATTCACGATCTAAAGCACAGAACCAGAACTTGAGAGGCGCCAGTCAATCCAATTTCGTATCGGATTATAATTACGACGTGATAAAAGTAAATATCCTTCCGCAATCAAATGAGAGTCACAGCGCGATCCTGACTGCCACAAATCTGCAACAGGGACCACTGAAAACAAATTGCGCGATGCAGTATTTTTGTAATGACAATGTTAAACACTTGAATGTGCCGCAGGAATCTATACAGGCGGAGAAAACGGTTCTGTCGGATTTAATTAATGTGACGAAAGCGGCAGGAGCTATAGACACCAACATCTATCAAGATATTGAAGGGAAATGCGTTGAATCGAACATCGTAGCGAACAATCGTGGCCAACGTATCACGAAGGAAAGACTGATGATAGATTTAATTGAGAAGGAACATGGCATTTCTAGTTTTCAATCGAGCCAGAATCCAGTACCAAATGTTTGCACAAGCGAGTCGCCAAAAGAGCGCGACGTTGAGCAAGATTTGCCCAAGGCAAAAGAGATGAACACTGGAGATCAACATTCAACCTCGGAACATAGGCAAATATTGCCACATATGCAAGCAAACATGGGCAAGTCTTTTCGTACGGTAACACCGAAGGAAAAAACGGAAAGATGTAACGTGTGTGGATTTCACTTTCCCGATGCTAATATCTTGGTTTTACATAAACAATTAGTGCACGAGCAAGATTCAAGCAACAGTTCGGAGAAAGTGCTTAAGAATTATTCTTGTCATCTGTGTTCGAAAGTATTTAAAATGCGAGGCAGTCTAATGGTACATATGAGAGTAGCACACGTTGGATTTAATTCTGGTAATTAATGTTAAAATATAACATAATGTTAAGTATTGGTTGAAGAAGCAAAAGATTATCAAAATTAAAAGGAATATTTCTTATATTTATGCTGTTTGGGATAAATTTGGATCATAAAGAAGTTAAAATATAAATAAAATAACACGGTTTTTAATATTTTCATGAAAAAATTGTAATTAATATTATATATATATATTTTATGGCTAATTAACTAATACTTATATTAATAACTAATAATTTATAAAAAAAATTTAGAGTAATTTCGAACAAATTAAGTATATATAAAATATAAAAATCAATTATCAAATTGATAATTTTAAAACAGATATATGTAGATATATATATGTAGATATATATAAGATATATGTCTCCAGATATGCTATTTAGTTTCTTTATTAGTGTTACAACATATTATTTCTCTCTACAACGATCAATGCAAATTTAAACATTACATAATTTCCAACCCGTTCAGAGAAATGTTCTTGTGAATTTCTTGTGAATTTTTTCACAAAAAAAATCGTAGAACAATTTACAAAATTTTTACTAATATTTTAATGTGTATGACATATATAACCTCGAGATTCTGAGATAAAAAAACATGAAAGTAAAGAAAGCCAATGTGATTATCAGTGCGTGAACAATAATACATAAAACTTTAATATACATAAAATATCGCAAATGTTTCGATTCCGGATTCGGACTCTCTCATACTTAATTATATATTAATAATTCCAATATAATACATAATTAATATATACAACTCAATACATGCATAGATAACTGTTGCATATTGAAATAATTCAATGTAATAAAACATTTTTTATTTACTATGATAGGTTCCTTAACGAAAGATGATCAAATTGAAGTTACATGCAGCGATGCTGGATACACATGTCCCACATGCGGAAAGAAATTCAAGAAAGTGAGACTATCTCCGCGCGTTTTGTTCGTAAAACTCGTAAGTGGTATTTTCATAATTTATAACTCTTTCTCTCTCTTATGTTTCTGTTTCAGGAGCAACATGTGGTACAACACTTGAAGACCCACGAAGGCAAACAATGGGAGTGCGATACCTGCAGTAAGATGTTTACTACCAAGTACTTCCTGAAGAAGCACAAACGGCTGCACTCGGGAGAGATGCCGTACAAATGTAAAATATGTGATAAGAGCTTCACCTTCCAGCAATCATATCATAAGCACAGGCTTTATCACAAGGACGATAAGCCACACACCTGCGCGACCTGCGGTAGATCGTTCAAGGAACTTTCCACGTTACATAATCATGAGAGGATTCACACCGGGGAGAAGCCGTTTGCATGTGAAACATGCGGTATGTTACGAAAGAACGATCATTAAAAAATCAGCCGATGGAAAATTAATCACAAATAACCGTTTGGGATCGATTAACAATCAAGATTAATCCTCCTGTTTGCGTGGTATCTGTAATATTTATGGTGTGCATGGCTTACAGCAGGTAATTCATAAATGCCGAGCATTAAATGTGCTGCAGGCTCTCTCTCTCTCTCTCTCTACGATAATGATAATCCTCCTACAATTGCCGTACTAATTCTTCCGCAGGAAAATGTTTCCGTCAGCGTGTTTCGTACTTAGTCCATCGTCGAATTCACACAGGAGTGATGCCTTATAAATGCACAATGTGTGGCAAAAGCTTCCGATATAAGGTATAAAGCGTTTCATCACGAAGCGTTTGCAGCCTTCTAATAATGCTAACAAGTGATTTACATTTGTAGGTAAGTCAAAGAACTCACAAGTGCCCTGCACAAGCATCGAGCAATATCCAACCGTTATCTGATATTATTGTACAAGAGATTGATAGTGGAACAGTCAATAAGCCACAGACCACTGATACCTTGCAAGAAAGTCAAGCATCGATGACAACCGCTGTTGATGATGAAAACAAATTCATGTTGATAATAAACGTCCAAGGACAACATGTTTTAGCACTGCAATCAGAAATGAATGACGTGTCCTCCGAGAAAAAAGAGCGAAGCATCGAATTTAGAGACACTAATGATGTTAACAAAAATTCCAAAAAGAACAAGACATGGAATGCTAAAAGTCTTACCGCAGGTTTTGAGGAATCTGCTAGATCGATTGAGAGGATACAATCGGATAATGAAAAGATAAATACAAAAAATACAAACGATTTCTTTTCTATGGTGATGTCGCCCCTTGAAACTAGCATATCCTCTCCGACATTTGAAATGGAGCACTTGAGAGTATCTTCGCCTAAACGTAAAGAAGATTCGATAGATTCTTATACAGACTTCCAGGTATCCAATAACATGCAACTGAATCTGCCGGGCATAGAGCAAAGCTTCAATCGTGACAAAAATGTTACTGATTCTTTGCAGACTATAAATGAAGAATCATTGAAGGAATTACTATATGGTATGGACAGAAAATAAAGCAAGTATATTTGTAATCTGACATATTTATAACTTGATAGTACAAACTAACGATATGTACATTAGCTATTCATCATAGATAGATATAGAAAATGTCTATTCATTATAGATAAATATATAGAGAATGGAGATGTTTTAAGTGTAAAGCTGTGTGATTGTTATAACTCGATTATCTTTTGATCTATAATATATAATAATATAATAAATCAATATAATATAATAAATCAAAGATGAAACAATATAAATAACATAAACAACTACATGATGTGATTTGTTAATCTTAATACTTGAATAATAACAAATTTAGTAGATGTATGTAGATAACTTCTATTATTGCAAACAATGAAAATATCTTTCAAAATGCTAGATTTACAGTAAACACAAAATTTTTTAAACACCGATGATATCGCGAAAATAAATAATTTCGAAATACATATGCAAGCTAATAAAATCACCTTACGAACTACGCAAAAAAAAAAACATCTTCTGAAACTTACCTCGTGATGAGAAGATCCGTCAATAAAATTACGTATACAAAATACGACATAACCTTTTCTCGTACGTCGGCAAGTGCTGTCAGCTGTCAGCGAAATCGAGAGTCGTTTCGAGTGATGTTTGCGAACGCACGGTACACGGCCGTCCAACGCGCTGATTGATTCGCCGCGGGGGAACTACGGCGCGTCCGCCAATCAGAGGGCGGCGCGAAACGCCCGGGACAACCGCCCCGTGCCGCGACATTGAGCATTTCGACGCACTCTGGTCGAGATATCTCGTAGCAGACGACGCGTCGCACACATCGACTTGACAGCTCACTCCGTATTTTCACGTGTCCCATCGCGCATCGCGTTGCGTAACTGGAGTCCGACTTCCAGGGAGGAGCTCCCCTTTTGCGGTGAGTAAGGACGTTCGCCGTGCTGGCTGGCTGGCGAGGGCATCGTTTTATCGCCATCGCCGTCGCTGTCGGTCATGCGGTTAACCGATCGACGGACGACGGACAGCTGATCGGACGCAGCGGTGATGTAGAAGCGGTCAAGCAGTCAGGCTGTTTTTGACATTGCCACGGGTTGCCGTTTACGGCCCGTTTATCGACGGCCAATTGGCCGCTGCCGGATGCGTTTCCCAGCCAATCGTAGCCGCTCAGCGCGATCGGGAGCGATCGCAGCCGGAAACCTGGCGCAATCTGTTACGACATCGCGAGGCATCTTCTCGCCTCGCTCAGAATGAATCGTGTCGTCGCATTTCATTTGTCGCATTTCTCGACGCGACGCGACACTGCGACGGAACGGGATGAAATCGTCGTGGCCCGTTTCGTCGCTTCGATCGCATCTTTGTGCGAAACACCCGACGCCAGTTCTCAATGTCATCGCGTAATATAACGCAACATCTCGACCGTTTCGAACGCGCACGTACGATTCGATCGGACCTTGAAATGCACGAGCGTGTTTGCGCAAAGGGTTTCACCTTGCCGCAGCGTCAGGCCCATAAAAGCGCACACTCGTCGACGAAACGACGCAGATAAGATACATATTTATCATCTGAGTGACGTGTTTGAAAAATTCGACACAATTTTAGAAATTCACGACGCGCTCCGCGAACGACGTTATCGTGGAAATTTCGTATCGGATAAACAGCAAGCGAATACATGATTTGCATATTTCGTTTCTCCGTTCGATTCGTCATAAAGGTGAATAACGATAAAATCATTTCGTGCAAAAGTCATCAATTTCCGGCGATAATGTGCGCACGTCAGAGTAAATACATAAACGTCGCGTTACATAAACGATACGCGAGAGAAGTAACGTAACTGTTGCGCATGTATATTACACATATCTTTTTTTTCTTTTTCTTTCTCTCTTTGGCAACGACAAATTCGATCGATCCGATTACGCGAACGACACGGCACTTCGGTTGTCTGAAAAACGGGATTTATGTAAGCGCGCTCGACGACTATCGGACAGGTTTCTGCTGCCCGCAGTAAAAATGAGAATTTAAAAAACGCCCGGGCAAGATGGCCATTCGCGCGCCGTGCGATCGTAGCGCAGGAGCGGCGGACGGTGTCCCCAGATCGAGGGAGAATCTCGCGCAAGCGTGACAAAGGCTGAAACGTTGTGTCCCGTCACGGGCGAGAAGTAACTTTTAATCGTTTATTCGGTTTATTTAAATTTTCTCTTTTTGACCTATCAATGCGGCCATATTGAACTGTGACGTCAGAAGCGAGAAATCATGCGAATTTTTTCTTCGCGCTGTACATACGTCGCAGTAGATTAGTTCTCCGCTGACGGTATCATTTAGGGTGTCTCCGATCTGGTGGCGTGATCGAATGGCAAGTGGAAAAATAAGTCGAAAATGTAAACTACGAATCGAATGAGTGGAATAAAATTTTTTGTACTTGACGTTGTTCTTGAGAAACATGACTTTGAAAATGAATTACAGATTGCATTTTTTTAAGCTTGAATGAGTTATACTAACACCTATTAAGATATAAAGAAATATTCCATTGCAGTAACTTCTAGATATTTATTCTTTCTCTTTTCTCAATTCTCTTTTCTTATTTTTGTTAGTATTTTTTTAATTATTTTAAATAATAAAATATATATTTATTTTTCTATTAATGCCTGTCAATGTATGACACAAAATACAAATTTAAGAAATGTAAAAATGTAATTATTTAAAAAAATGTAATTATATAATTCACCTTCTAACATTTATTTTCTCGAAAACATGTATTTATATGAAAAGCTTTTATTTCATTTTTCACTTGTTTCCTCGCGAGGCATCATTCCGTTCATGTTCATTTTTACTAATATCTATTAATTTCAATCTCAGCTTAATTTTATTTTTTTGTCTAACTTTTAAAAGGAGATACTAAGTGAGTTAAACCGAGATTAAAATTAATCTACTTTGGCAGAAATAGACTTCAAAAACATTCATCTGTAGGTCAGTAAAACAATCCGTGTCAATCAGTAATTTGCTCTATCAGATCCACGAATTCTTTTGTCCGTATCATACTGACGCATAATAACATTTCATACATTATCAGTTTCAAGAGGACAAAAGAGAAAAGAAGAGATTGTGAGAAAATCATTCGCACCCGCCAAGAGATACCTCGTATTGCGCACACCCGAATACGAGCCTGACGCGAAAACGCTCTCGCGATTGGTGGCGCGCGACGAGACACCGCATGGTGGGGGTATTCCTCCGTCGCGTACGTTGGTAACAGGTTTCCGAACGCTGCGAACGACTTCCGCTGACTGGTTCGTGCGCGCGCGTGTGCGTGCCTGCCTGCCTGCCTGCCTGCCGTTGCCTTGTCTTGCCTGCGTGCTGGCTCGCTGGCGTATGACATTGGCGACGGGGGCGGAGCGTTCCGCGGCCACCCAGTCCTAACCAACCCGAGGCTCGACCGTCGCCGTCGCATTCCGCCGAGTCTCCTGCAGTCAGTGCGCATCTCGGGACCGATCACACGTTGTGTAGCTTCCTCTCGTCGATGCTCGGCAGCGTGTGTGCGTGCGTGCGAGCGTACGTGCGTGCATACGTGCGGACGTAGGTGCGCGCGTGCTTGCGTTCGTCGTTCGTTCGTTCCTCCGCTCATTCGTTCGTTCGTCGTTCGCCGTCGTACGTGTATGTGCGTGGCGTGTGTGCATTATACTACACTTCACCTCGGTTCTCTTGTGCGCCGTGGCGCGGCCACGAACGCTCTCGCTCTTCACTCGGCTTGTGCCGTGTCCCCGTGCTCGTGCATGTGCCCGACGTCTGTGTGCAACGATAGGAAACTAAAAAGCCGTCTCGTCTCGTCTCGTCTCGTCTCCTCTCCTTGCATTGCGTTGCATTTCACCAGGCTGAGGGAGAGATTAAGATAGAGGGTATTGAAGTATCATTGTCTTCGTCGTCGTCGTTATCGTCATCATCACCATCATCATCACCGTCGTCGCCGCGATGCCCTGGGCGTGTTTCTCCCGCATTCAGGTAAAAAGCATACTTGGTTCGTAACTCGTAACACTGTTTTCAAATCGAGTTCCTGACGAAAGCATCGACGGAGAGTGCGTGGGGTAAACGGAAGCGGGTGGGAGGAAGAGCGCGCGGGGGGGGGGACGTAGAGATACGGACGAGATGGGGTCTCTCGAAAGGGAGAGGGTGGGCGGGCAGGCAAGATTGCGGGGGAACGTGTGGATAAGGGCGAGGGGGATGAAGAGGGAAAGGAGAGGGCTTCTCTTTTTTGGAGGATTTCAACCTGAGGTCACGCAGAGCGGAGCGAGAGAGGCGAGCGCGTACGGCTTGGAGTAGGACAAGGAAGAGTGGAAACCCGTCCTCCATTGCTCGATCGCGAGCAAATGGTTGCCCTCTCCACAAGTCTTTGTTACGATACAAATACGAGTTTGAGGCCCCCTGCATCAAGTTCCGCCTGCTCGTTGTTACCGCTGCTACTGCTGCTGCTGCTTTTGCATCAGAGTCGCGTCTTTGTCGCGACTGAGCAATCCGTCAGACTCGCTAGGAGAAAAAGGGAAGGGGCTCCCCGCCGTGATGTCAACGGCACAATTTCGCGTCAGTCAATGATGATATCGGATGGACAGGTAGGCAGGCAGACAGACAGACAGACGAACGAGCCAGACCAGACGAAACCAGACTATCCACCCAGTCGACCAGCCGATTAGCTAATCGGCCGACCAACCGACCAACTAGCCAGCCGTCCAGCCAGCAAGCAAGCAGTCGTAGCGTTTGTTATGATTCTCAGTTCGTTACTATCTTCTCCGCTGCTGCGTGGGGGAAGCATTAATTGCGTATCGTGCCCCGCAGCCGTTTTATTTAGTCACGCTCTTGTTATCCGAGCGCATATGGCTCGCGCCGAGGCAGCAACCTTTTTTTTTTCTCTCTTTTTCTTCCGTTTCCCTCTTTTTCTTGGAAATCACGTTGTCGATATCATTGCTAGCGTCGCGCCGCTGCCACTGCCACTGTTCGGTTGCGATCGCGAGCGAAAAATATCGCTGCCAAGTTCGTTTAACGAACGCGGGGCATTTAAATCCTTTTGTGCGCTCATTCGAACGCGACACCTGATTGTCGCGCGATATAAACGGACAGCCCACTCGGATCTTGCCCGTCGCTGGCGAGTGGGTCTTTGATGCCGTGTATGGTACACACACA